ACTGACTGGGAGTGACTTCGCCGCACGAGGGCAAGCGAGTACGCCCCCCTTGGCAGTAGGTCGGACCTTGTCCCTCCTACAGGCGGTGTTGGGCGAAGTTAGAACACCCATTCAACATATTGATTTTAAAACAGTCGAAAGCGTCGCCGAGGTCGTACTCCCCCGGTCCCGCACTCCAAGCTGACTGGAGTGACTACCGCCGACGAGGCAGCGAGAGGCACCCCTGGCCGGTAGGTCGGACCTGTCCTCCTACGGCGATGTTTGGGTCGAAAGTTTGAACATGTCGGACAACGCATGTTTTTTAAAAAGTCAGCGTCGCCCCGAGGTCGAACCCCCCCGGTCGCACGCCCAAGCTGACTGGGGTGGCACCCTTAAGCCGCACGAGGCAGCGAGACGCACCCCTGGCAGTAGGTCGGACCTGTCCTCCTACAGGCGGATGTTGGGCGAAAGTTGAACCACACATTCAAACATATGTGTTTTAAAAAATTGAAGCGTCGCCCGAGGTCGAAACCCCCCGGGCCCGCACTCCAAGCTGACTGGGAGTGACTTCGGCCGCGCGAGGCGCGAGACGCACCCCGGGCAAGTAGGTCCGACCCTGTCCTCCTACAGGCCGGATGTGGGCGAAAGGTTGAAAACCAAACATTCAAACTATCTGTTTTAAAGTCCGAAGCGTCGCCCGAGGTCGACCCCCCCCCGGGTCCGCCTCCAAGCTGACTGAGTGATTCGCCGCACAGAGGCAGCCGAGACGCACCCCTGGCAGTAGTCGACCTGTCCCTCCTACATGCGTTGTTGGGCGAAAATTGACCACACATTCAAACATATGTGTTAAAAAGTCGAAGCGTCGCCCGAGGTCGAACCCCCCCGGGTCCGCACTCCAAGCTGACTGGGAGTGACATCGCCGCACGAGGCAGCGAGACGCACCCCTGGCAGTAGGTCGGACCTGTCCTCCTACAGGCGGATGTTGGGCGAATGTTGAACCACACATTCAAACATATGTGTTTTAAAAAGTCGAAGCGTCGCCCGAGGTAAAAACCCCCCCGGGTCCGCACTCCAAGCTGACTGGGGGCGACTTCGCCGCGCGAGGCAGCGAGGCGCACCCCTGGCAGTAGGTCGGACCTGTCCTCCTACA